GCGGAATAGCAAATCTGTCAGGCTGAGTCAGAACACTGGACCATCAAGGCCAGTATCCTGTCTCTGAAATGCTGTCAGTATCTGACACTTCAGGCTTAGCTGGGATAATAAAACATTTTCCTCAACCTTATGTAACATCTCGGCCTGGCAAAGAGGAGATTTAAACATTGATTGCTTTCCACTCCCCTCTGTCCCGCGAATGTGAATCTGACTCTTTTCCAAAATGAACAACTCTGATGAGCTGGAATTGGTTTCTGGGCAGGATGGGAAAAGCTCCTCTCTCGTTACTCATTCCTGGACAGATCCGCTAAACCTTTGCCTCCTAAAAGGGGCACTCGAATTAGGAGACATAAAACTCCATCCGCAAAATTCTGGGTGCCCAAGGCCACCTTTTCATGGAAGGTGGAAATGCATGTCGTAAGACTTCATGTCTAGTCACTTTATTTTTCCCCATCATGTCTACTTCCTTTATTTTTTTATTTGTTTAAGCTCTCCATTAGTTTATTAGCTTGACAGCAGCCCAGTTAATTAGCCCGTCCTCCCTCCCTCCCCCAGCACCGGCGGCCTGTGAGGCTCCCCGAATGCACACAAAATTTAGTGCTGCTGCTGGGGCACTTCTCAAAACAAATAAAAGATTTGCAAAAGCAGCCACCAAGCATCCAACATAATTAAACTGCATTTGTTACCCTTTCGGCCCTCGCACACAATCGGGGCCTTGTGCGGAGCGAGCACTCCCCAAATCAGGCTGTTTTTCTTCTGCAGGGAAGAGTGCCAGGAGTCTCACCAGCCCAGGTAACATAAGATCCCAAGGAGCAGCAAATGGACAGTCCCAGCCAGAGTGAATGGACTGTGGGGAGATCTATATGAATGTGAATATCTATAGATATATGCAAACACGCACATACAGGGGAGTATAGTTCTGCAGGGGGAAAAAAAAGCAGTGGAAAGGCTCCTAGAAATTACTGCTCCATGCACAGGTATGTAAATGACTCTGGAGTCTTGCTGTCCACCACCTCAATCAATTACAAGGTTATTCAAGATAAAACAAACACCATTTCAATTAACTGCACATACAGCAGTGGTTAGAGGCGCACGCAGGGAAGAGGAAGTGGGAGGAATTTTTGGAAAATGGAACTTTTTTTCTACTTCTTCTGGAGATATGCACAAATAGAGGTTGCCTTGAGGTGCTGTGAGTGGAGCCATGAATGGTCTTAAAAACTCCAACCTAAAGCCATCATGGTCTAAACTAAAGACAAAATGAGGGGGGTGAAATGAGAAAAAAAATGAGTGAGCATTTAAACATCTGTTTAGTTTGTATTGGCACAAACGGACTATTTGTGAGAGGAAGTGAGAGCAGAAATCGGGGCAGATGCTCAAGGATGCCTAATTCTGTTGGAGACAGGATCCAGATAACAAGTCCCTCAGCAGCTGTGTGTGAGCACAGCTTCCTGACCCCGATGGCCGGGAATGCTGAAGCCTCGCAGGGCGAGGACACAGCTGGCTGAGAGAATCTGACAACAACCTGCAAATTCAGTGGTGGGTTGAGAAGACAGAGGAGGAATGAAGACACAGGAACTGGGCAAACAACATCAGGGTCATTTTCCACCTGTGCCACAGACTTTTGCCTCACCCTGAGCAAACCATTTTACCTCTTTCCCTCACTCTTCACACTCCTGTGCAAGAGGCAACTCCTCAACCTTCAGCCGTCTGATGCATTCACAATATGAGCTTTGCAGACCACTCAACAGAGGCTTCGTTCTCCCTTGGGTCTGTGTGTGCCACCACTGGACTGTAAATCAGCTCCTCTGGTCATAATCCATCACGTTCTACATGACCAGAGGCATCCGGCCCCCGAGGGCACGGCTGGTTGAAAACAGGGCACACAATGTCTGCCATATTAGTGAATAAATAAAATTGCATTCTCTGCCTTTCTGGGAATTGGCTGAAGTTATATTTCGATTGTTATTTGTCAATTGAAACGATGGACTAAGAGTTTCTGGTCAAAAGTTCCTGCAGGCTGTTCCCCTGCAACTAATACAATATTAAACACGAGTTTTGTATGATTTTTCTACTTGTTTGGCTGATGCAGAGAAACTTATGATCAACTGGCTTTTTGAAAAAAATCATTCTTTATTAATCAAATATTTCTAGATGAAATACACCCAGGCCAGGAGATAGGAACAAAATTTATAGCCACAACACCATAAATCACTGTCCAGTCTCTTGCTCACGGTCATAAGCAATAAATTTATTGCAGTTACAGAGTTTTCATCGGTGACTTCAGCCACAAGAGCTGACTGTGAGTCTGCTCCCAGCCCCTGCAACAAGGAAAAGCAGGTGTATTTGTTGACTCCCATTTGGAGGGCATTGGAATTCTGTTACACTTCCATGTCTGCTTTCCCATCACTTGAATTTATATTTGTGACAGAGCAGAAACCCCAACGTCCTCACTTATTGTGGTCCCACCTAATGGGCAGTAACTTCTTGGGAGCAAACTCCACATTTAATCCATGCCAACCTTCTCTTTCTGACTGAAAAGAGTGAAGAGAATCTTGAATTTGGGGAGCAACTGAATCAAAAAAAGAGCTGGTAATTAGCACTCCTTCAGTAAAGATTCAAACCTCAAACCCCTGGCATTTAAAGAGGTACTTGCATAGGAAGATGAGTTCCAAATGGCCTTGATTTCAATGCTTAATTAAATTCAGAAAAACCGACTCTTCCTGAACCCTTTTTCCTTTGCAAAATGTTTTTTCCTCTTCTCCATCAAACTCACTGCCAAGAGCCACCCTAAACATCCAGAGCTCCCTGCTCAGCACAGACACAGCGTTGGGTTTTTTGTGTATTTCCCAGGACTATTAACAGAGTAATATAATGAGAAATGAACTGAGGTTAAAGAATTCAGTACCTCGTGTATTTTCACTAAAAACACTCACTGCATCAGGGGACCTGCCAAGAGGAGAGTTTAATATCGTATGAAAAGGAAGAATTTTCATAATGACACTTGGCAGTGGCTGCATCCCCCCCATGAACGGAGCTGCTGGGGCTTTCTCTCCTCCGCTCTCCTATTCTCTCTCTCCTCTCAGCCCAATGGCAGGACAAGGGATTTTCATTTTGAAGTGCTGGGAACAATGGGAATGAAGATTTGGGCAACCCTTCAAGGGGTGGGGGACTCCCACAGCCTGTGGTCAGGCACCTCAGTTTGGAAGGTACTTCAGGAAAGAAGCTTTTCAGGCTACACTGCTTCTGTCAAAAGGGGGAAAATGGAACCAGAATACTCAAAACTGCCTAAAAATTTTAATCTGTGTGAATCTTTCTCCCTGGTTTCCAGATCTAGCCAGTGAGCCAAAACAATTACTTCCTTTGTAAATTTGATTTGAGAGTTTTCAATGCAAACAGCAGTCGCAGGAAGAATCACCTGAGCCATTAAGACCCTTTCAGCTCCAAACAAACCAGCTACAAGGATATAGCAAATCCCACATTTTGCCTTCTATCTTTTTATATCTGGTGACTCTTCCCAAATTGCCCAATTCTGATTGTATTCACACAAGCATTCCAATAGTGGTTGGAGTTATATATTCTCTTATGATGGTGCTTGTTCCCTTATTTCTCACTCCCATCTATTTGAAAACTTCATGCCATAAAAAAAGAAAAAATAAAATAGAAATGAATGATCGAACAGGGATAATAATGTTTTCCATAATGTAGACCAAACGTTCTTGATATATTCTGTTTTATTATGCAGCAGACACTAGTTCTCAGTGAAAAGCTCACGGTGTGGCAGAAACTGGCCCCACTCCCCACTGATGGACTGATTTCAAATGGTTTTATCATTTTTACTAAAATTTCGGTGTCAAAATTTTGTCTGACTCAAATCAAACTTAAACCTGACAGGCTGCCCCAGCACATTTTTAGGTGGGACAAATACAACAAAACTCTCGCATGAGAAAGGCCCAACACCAGGAAAACACTTCCTTGTGGAGAGATGGAAGAGCTGTGGTCCCATTCTGCTCTTTCCATGTGACATTTGTGAATTAAAACAATCCCACCGAGATTTTGGGGGCTCAATATCCACCCTCAGGGAGTCACTCCAACCCTGCAGCAATAAAACCGAGCACACAGAGCTCGTTTTCACTGAGACTCTGGGTATAAAGTCAGCAGAAAAATACCCTGGAATGAGGATTACAGAATGTAACTCTCCTTCAGAGGTGACGCAGGGCCCTCATTTGCAAGTGATAAATGTCACTGCTCTTCCATCTGCAGCCTTTTAAAACCATTTTGAGGGAGGTGTAATGAGGCTGCACAGCCTTGGAGGGACAGGACAGGGGACAGCCGAGTCATCTGAGCTTTATTGAGTGTGTCATGGGAGACTTGTCCTTTTTTTTTCCCCCTTTTTTTTTTAACAAAATGAGGTGCCCCAGGGGAAAGTCAGCAGCTAGAAGCGGCCCCACCTGAGTGTGTCTTGGGAGGAAGCCTACTGCCTCATATTTTTTAAAAGGGAAAAAAAATTATAATAATAGAGCCGAGCCAAAAATATCAAGCAGCTCCTAGCTGTGAAAAAGCCAGGGAAAGCTGAGTCGCAGCCGGTCAGTGTTGTTCTTCCAAACAAGCTGACCACCCTCCCTTCATAACATTTTATTTATTAAAGCGAAATTGGCCCACTGGAGTAAAATTATGCCATATTCATACGCATATACATATGTATATATAATTAGGTATGCGCGCACACACACACAGTTATTCATCGCTGCGTTTCTACACAGAAGGTCCCTCTAGATTTTTCGGTGTGCGGACTACTGAATTTGTTAAAGGGGGAGAAATTTAAATGGTGTGGACGGGACGGGGCTATAATTCGGTTATAATTCATTTACAACTGTTATAATTCAGATATAATTCGTTATAACTCAGCGCAGGCCTCGGGGCGCCTCAGGCCGCCTCAGGCCGCACCAGGCCCTTCCGTTGCCGTGGCAACAGGGAGCCTCTCTCCCATTGGTCCGCGCAGGGCGCAGCCAATCAGCGGCCGGGGTTTGGCCCCCCAGGAAAATGGCGGCGGCGGGAGCGGCCCCCAAGCTCCGGGTTTGCTTTATGGACTTATTTTAGTAACTCCGTCCTTATCCAGCCCTTCAAAGCACCTTCTCACGGAGAACAGAACCCTGTCAGTTCTGGGATTCTGTGATCCTGTGATGTTAGCAGTTCACACACCAGAAAATCTCCAGGGACCTTCTGGCTGAGCATTGTATACAAACAGCCATAAATTACTGCATTTACATTTACATCACTACGCTATTACATGAAGGCTCAGATCAGGAGCAGCACCTTCTGTTTTCCTCTATTTATTTTTTTTTCCTGTGTGCTCATTCCTGTTTTAAAGTCCCCCCCCCTATTTACCTGCAGCACAGTCTAGACAGCTAATGGAATAATAAGAGCCCAGCGGGTTTTTACAAGAACATGGACAAAAAGAGCATCAGAAATAAATATATGAGTAAGAATTGGAAGGTCAATGGCTGGGTACTGAGTGTGCCACAGGCAAGGGTGTCCCGGGATTATGAGGTGCGTTACTGCCATTCCTAAAATCCCCAAAGGAATCACCCCGTTGTTCTGAGGACCGTGTAGGAACAGCAGGTCACATTTATAAAATGTACTTAAAGATGTAGTTGAATCCCAAAGGGATTTTTCCAGACAGTTCATAAAACCAGCTTGTGAGTCACCCCTGGAAGCTAATGGGAGTAAGGCCTGGAACTTATCTAGGTGCTTTTAATAAATCCTGCTCTTTCCATATCGACATGATTAAATGCATAATATGCTTTTTTTAAATGTGACCCAGTGTTTATGCAGTGCCAAGAGCAGCAAGCTGAGCACTAAAATGCTCCGTACTTCTGGAAAATAGTGCCTACTCTGGAGAATCCAAAACATTAATGAGCAGGTAGTGTGCAGTCAGACTGAGACAGAGAAACGAAGCTTTCTCCTCTAAAAACCTCCCAGCAGGGCTTTAATCTTTTAATTTTTAAAGATGCTTTTGTTTAGACTTTAAATTTCAGAAGTTGCCTCTGAACTATCAAGGCCAGATTTTTTCATTCCCTCTGTTCACTGCAGGTAATTCCCTGTCGAGCATCCTGACCAAAACAATCAGGCATTGCTGGATTCCTGTCACCCTCCACACAAGGCATGAAAAAGCAACGGAGGAATAATCCTCTGGAAAACCCAGTTCTCGCATTCCCCCTTCTCACAGCGGAGAGAAACAGGGACTAATCGTCCCTGGTGCCGCTGCCTGTTCCTTTCCCTGCTGGTTGCTCATCAGCCCCCTGGTTGCCCATCAGTTTTTCCAGCCCGTGGAGGGTGTTGTCGCGTGGTCCTTCCTCCCGTCTTATTCCCGGCTGTTGTTTCTGGAGCTGCCGGCACTACTGCTTGGCACGGCTCCCCCGGTGACTCCGAGCTGGTGGCAGGCAGGGCTCAGCCCTGCCCAGCGCTTTCCCAGGAAGGCCTGGCTTCCTCTCAGAGGAAAACCAGCTCAGCCCCCGGAGCGTGTCTGCCCGTCCATCGGGGAGAAAATAAAAAGTGATTCAGCTGATTTTTATCTCCCCGCCGACGCCCCCGGTGAAGCAGCGGAGCTGGTGTGGTTTGATTTGAAACACGGTCCTTGCTTACAGCAGGGATTTTATTTGAATGTTGATTGTTTGTCATTCCCTTCTATGTGTACGGCTGGGTAAAAAGCCCTTTTGTTTTGAAGCGTCCTGTGAACTGCAGCAGGAAGCTCAGGAACTCCTGGTGGACTGAATGAAACACAGTCAATGATAATAAAATTATAGAAGGTTGGAGCCAGGAGGAAACTAAGTAGATGGTGTAGTTGGACTCCCACACTAAACCTGGACTTGGATGTTTGCTGGCGTGTTCTTAAACCTCCAGGTTTAACACCTCCAGGGAGCTTCCATAACATTGTGAGATGGATCTTCTGAATGTTCCACCTTTGTGACACTGAGAAGCTCTTGACTTACTTGGCAAAATTGAGCATGGAAGAAATTTAAATTGCTCTGAAGTGCCCTCCTCTAACTGAAATAGGTTAGAACTAAACATGTGTTGTTAGAACAGGAAGATATTTGGAATTTGGAGTGACTTAGGGTTTTCTTTTCTGAGATGTTTTCTGGTTTATTTGGGAACTTTAAATTGATGACTTTAATGGTGGAACGGGTGTATTGGTTTTATACTACATTTATACTACATTCCTGGAGGATAACTGAGGATCAGGAATCGAGTACATCGTGAAAACAGTCAGGCAATAGCATGTGATGGAATCCTGGGTGACAACATTACTCCTTACACATTTCAGAAGTGGATCCAGAGGGAGAATTCAGGCCCAAAATAAAGTCTTCCTTACCTGAGCTGAACATTTTTCCCTCTCAGTTGAAAGTTATTGTATCAAATTCAGTTGAGATGCCATGGATAAGCCATGAGTGGCTGGGAGAGGAAATCCCAGTTTATCTGACTCACCATTTTTGTGCAAATATTAACTTTGGCTGGTACACATTTCTCCTGATATCTCTTTTCCAGATCTGAGTCTCAGAGTACATTGTCTTGGCTATATTGAACTGTAGCCTTTGGTTACTTGAATAACTTTCATTTTTAACAGTTTTATCTATTTATTGTATCTGAAAGGTAAAGAAAATGCAATTTTCCCCATGACTCTGCTTCTGGTGATGCAGTATTAAATTCTGCACCAGTGGAAAACTTAGATTTAATGGTGGCAAAAAGCACAATGCAGAGGATTTAGTTTTCTTTGCTAAAAGTGGTGGAAAACCCTCGAAGATGGCAATCCCAACTTCCCAGGATCTACCTGCACTTTTATCCCCCACACTCTCACTGGTTTATTTTGTCCTTGGAAGAAAAAACATTGGTGGACGCTGGAGTTGACCTTTAATTTTGAAAAATGTTCATATTCTCTGTCAAAACACTCTTCGTGGTTGCTCCCACCAACCAGATTGTTGTTTCTATTCAGAATTATCACAGGTGATGAAGAGAGAGGAAGTTAATTCAATTAATTCAATTAAATTGATTCAGATGTCCATGTGTTGCTTGTGCTTCGTTCATACAAACCAGGGGGGTCAACATAGAGGAAAAGAGGAATGCAGAGCTGGAATCCACACTCACAGCTGTGGCTTGGGGATGCTCAAAATAGCCAATATGTTCTTCCCCTGTTCTGTAATTCCTTTACAGAATGGGTAAAATAAACTGTTGATAAGGAACTGTTGCTCCGAGCCAGGCTGGAAAGGAACTGGGAAAGGCTCCATGAGCAGCATTAAGTGAGCAAGGCAGAATTTCCAGGGCATCATCTGGTAGCTCTGCCTTGTTTTGCTGCTTTGCTTAACATTGCCATGTTTTGTTTTGTTTAATTTTGGGTCCTTATTTCATCTTATTTTTTGACTTCTGGACTGTTGCAACTTCCCCAAGTAAGTCCCTTTGCACTTATCTTATCTGGGCTTCCTAATTTCCACTATTAGGTGATGTCTGACACCTTCTTTGCTCAGAGCTGGCTGTCTGGACACAAAGTGAGTCACTCACTCTCCCCCCATATCTTCCCACCTCCCCTCACCCCCACAAGGAGGGGGGGACTCTTTTCCTCAGGTTATCATGGTCCATTGGAATGAAGGGCACACCACACATACGAGTGGTTCAGATGAAAATCTCACTGCTGAAAGGTGTTCTGTTAATTCTTGTGGAGGGAATAAAGCCAGAGGATGTAGCTTTGGACAAGGGGAATGGGCAGGAGATGCTTTCAGCTTGCTGGAAGAGTGGATCTGTAACAAAAATGAGCTCTAGAATGCAAGTCACTGCCTCCAGAATGAGGAATGACTCCAAATATTAAGCAAAGGTCTGTGAGAGGAGGGAGGACAGAAACGCTGTGATTTCATCCATATTTATCTGCTCTGATAAGATTCCTGACAATTGTTTTCTCAGCCCTGAGGTCTTGGACACTCAACTTCCTCTTCACTTTCTGGTCTCCAGCATCTCAGAAAAGCCAAGAGATCTGCCCTGGGCCGAGGTGCTGGATTAAACCTGGGATTAAAGCCTGAGATTGCTCAACAGTAGCTTTGATACACCCAGAGCTGGTCCCATCCACAGCCTGGGGCTTGGAACTGCATTCCAATGGGTATCCCTAATTCCCCCAGTGCAGAGAACAATCCTGTGCAGTCAGTCTGCTTCCTTTGCACTGTGACTGCTGGCTGATGACCAGTGTTCACCAACCCCACGGACTCACTTGCAAGTGTGATGCTCGGCTAAATAAAATTGTTTCCAAGAAGGCCATCATCATTAATCTTTAATTAATGCCTGGTGTTCAGTGGAAGATATGATTGCCCATGGCTGGAATTGCGGTGGGAATAAGGCAGGTGCCTCAGACTGGGCTGGAATAGCCTGTGGTGCAGAGGAGAGCTGGGCTGCCCCCATTCCATCCCTGCCAAGTGATCCAAGTGGCTCAGCAGTGGCAGAATTTGGCAGGTTTCCCTGCCCCAAGGAGTTTGCAATTTGAAGGAGTGCTGCTTTCTTCATCCTGCTCTTAGAGCTGTTCCCATGTCGGTCAGTGGGATGAATTCCCATCTTCCTTTTGTTGACGTGTAAATGGAGTTTGTCAGGACTTTGCCCAACCTGCACGAGGAAAGTTTCCTTTGACAGAGCCTGCCAGGTCACAGGGGTGTGCTCAGGGCTCTGCTCTCCCACCTTTCACCCCTGGAATGTGCTGCAAGGATAGTTTGGGGGGCTGAGTTGGAGAGAAAAGGGGGCCTGACAAAGGCCAGCACTAAAATCATAAGGCACAAAGAGCTGCTGTGAGTCCTTGCTGGTGGATTTATGTTTGATTTGAAGAAGCACCTGGTATGGGAGTAACAAATCCCAGGTTCCTCACTGAGTCTTGCAGAGGGAACAATTAAAATATAATTTGTTTATTATGAGAAGGACAATTAAGAATGAATTGATGGATGAGTTGCTGCTGTACTTGGGAACCCCAGGGATCCTGTTCTGAAGTGCCTCTTAACACTTCCCACTTAGTTGTTAGATCTGAAGTAAAAATTGTTAATGCATTAAAATGTACTTGGCCTCAGTGTATTTTCCAAGTAATTTCCATTTTATTTATTAAGCAAAAAGAAATTAATGCTGTCAATATTCATAATTTCAGCCTTTGAAAACATTTTTACTGGGGTATCAAGGGTGATAAAAACATCTTCCGGAGCAAGAGGAAGAGCAAGAGAATGATGGAAGCCTTTATTTCCCATAAATTTAATTCCTATAAAGTCTGGACACCCTGGGTGGATGCCTTGGCTCAAAAATTACCTCCTGGCTCCTCCTTTTAGTCTTGGTTTTTAGTTGGAGCCAGGAGAAGGATCCCAGCATTTGCCAGGTGAATGAGAGCTGTACCCTGGCACGAGGCCTGCAGACCCATTACTGGTTTGTAGATTAAAATAAGGACAGGGAAAGGGGTGGAGAGGGAAAGAGAAAGGGAATAGCAAAACACTTTGTTCTAATTCAGGTGCAGAAGTTACTCTGGGTGTCCCCACAGCCCGTCTGCCACGTACAGGGTGGAGGAGGAACAGCCTCCTTTTCCCCGGGTGTTCTATTCTCTAATTCCCCCTGTGCCAGCCTCCAGGAACAATTGCAGGCTGCTGCCAAGGTCTGTGCCTGCTCAGGCATCATTCCCGTGGGGAAGCTCCGGGAATGGCTTGGCTGCCCTGGGAGCAGTCAGCACTTCCAGCCCGGGAGCAGCTCCTCGAGGAGTGTGGGCTGGTGGTTCCAGGGGAGGGTGGGGGCAGGATTTTTGGCTTCTGGTTGTGGTGTTGTGACTGAACTGCTGCGGCTTTGGCCCCAACATTTGATCTCTGGCTCCGTTCCCTCAGCCTGAAACCAGGGAGGATCCTGATGTGACCATAAGGAGCTTCTGAACGGGGGGATTTCAGGGCCTGGTTCCAAAGCTGGACCAAGCAGAAGTTCTTACACCAAATTTCACTGTCTGGTCCATCCCAGTTTTGAATGAACCACTTCTTTTTGTGGAATGTTAAGTCTAGTGGACTTCCCAGTGAGGGCCAGATTTCACAGAATCATGGAATCATGGAATTATTTGGGTTAGGAGGGACCTTAAAGCTTATTGTCATGCCATGGGCAGGGACACCTTCCACTAGCCCAGGTTGCTCCAAGCCCCATCCAGCCAGGCCTTGGACACTTCCAGGGATGGAGCAGCCACCACCTTTTATATTCTTATACATCCACATTTCCTCTTATATTAGGGAATAATTTCTGTTACTAAGCCCCTTAATTCTCAGGTTTACTGGGACACAATGAGGAAGACATTTGGTCACATGTAATGACAAAGATATTGTTCTGCTCTCTATTGAAGGCAAACCCCTGAAATTGAATATTTCTTTACATTTTCAAACAACAACAACAAAAACCCAAACAAAAACTGACCAAACAAAAAAACCCCAACAAACAAACTTAACGGGGCTTGGAAATCCCTCCACACAAATTCATTTCTAACAGGTTTGTTGCTAATCAGTTGAAACGAACTGGGAAGACAAGATAAGCAGAGAGAGCAGGGTAGGGGTTAGAGAATATGCTTGGCCTGGGAAAGATTAGTTCACCTGCATGACAAAAATTATCCTTTGGCTCAGGCAGAACCCTTTTCCTGTGAATTGAGTTGGTGTCTAATTGATTACACGCCGAGGTGACTCAGATGGCTGAAAGGCAATGCTGGTACATTTTTAAACTCTGTTATTGAAGAGATCCCCCTCTCAAACTCAGCAGTTTTAAGCTGCCGTGTTTCCCACTATCGTGGCAATCAGTTCCCCCGAGTTCTGTCTGACCTGGAGATCTGAGTTCAGGCCTCTAAAGGATTTATGTGCTTAATAACCATTAGCAAATACTAAAGTATGGTCCAGTTCCATCTCCTGAAGTGGCTGAGACCCTCAAAGCCCCAGGGAAGGGATGGTGCATGTTGTCCTTCTTTTGGTCCCATCATTATTTCACTTTTCCTAAAATGCAGCAAATTTCACTTTGAGGCCCAATATATCCTGTAATTTTCTGACTGGCCATATGCAATGTCTCATGAGAAATATGCCATCATAAAACCCACCTGAAGTTCCCTAAAATATCTATATTCTGATATTGCTGAAGCCTATTGGAGAAACCCTCTCTCAGGGCTGCCTTGTATTTATTTGCCATTGTTTATGCTGAGTAAACTCCTTGGAGACAAGGAGCAGATTCCTCAGAGAGCTTGTGGTCGGATCAATTTGTGGAGCTGTTTCCATGTTTTCTGATGCAATCCAGTGTAACAATGTTGTATCCCAGTAAACATGGAAATGGAGCAAGGAAAACATTTCTCAATCGACTTCCTAAAAATACTGCTCTGGGTGGGGAGGGGCTCGAGTTTTATTCCAGGAGCTCGTTCAAGCCCTCCTCGGTTTCCACAATGTCTCAGATTTTACTTGGTCTTATATTTCATGTACTTATAGATTGGGAAACAGAGCGTTCCATGGGCCAAATGCCCACGAGCCTGACATGCAATAACCATTATGGAGTCAAATGTGCATATTCCTGGGTGGAAAGGTGCCAGCCAGGGCTGGAAGCAAACTTGGCAAAGTGGGCAGATCCTCAAGGGTGATCCTGGGAGGGGCTCCCTCCAATTCCCTTCTCTGACTTGGTGTTTGAATATTCTGGTGCTTTGTTCTGTAGGGGGATAAAGGGTGATGTCTTTAATGTGTTAGTTTGGTATTCTGGGATTTGGGGGTTTTTGCTTTGTTTTAATTGTCTTCCTCCCCCTCCTTGCCCGAGGACTCCTCAGATGGAACCTGATGAAAATACAAGTCCTTACTGAGCTCCTGGAGAGGAGGGAGGGAATGCCAGGGTACCAAAATCACTGGGTGAGCAGCAGCAGTTAGATGGGGTTGTAAAACTCATTCCTGTGCCTGTGTCCATCTTCTCACATGACACCAGATTTAAAGATTTACCCCATTTAGGACACTATTTTTCAATAAGTTATTCATGCAGTGACATTCAGAGAAGGAGATGGGCATATCCATTCCCTATTCAATATATTACTTAACATTTCTATATTCAATATATTCCTTATCCTGTTATCCCAGCAGCACAGTGCACTCATGGATTGGCCATCTAAGGAGTGTTTTATCCCAGGACTGTTGCAGTGGGACAGGGTGAGGAATTGCCTGTGCTGGTGGAAATGGGGTGAGGGGGCCGGGGCTCAGGGCTGTGTCAGGTGGACAGAGCTGTGTCTCCAGAGGAGCTGTGCCTCAGCTGTCCCTGCAGGAGGCACCTTGCCATGGAAAACCAGATCCCAGCACCACATGGAACCTCCCACCCTGCTCAGAGCTTGGTGCAGGCACAGATTTCCACACGGTGTTTGCATCTGTTTTCTGATTCCGCTGCTTTTGTTCCTGTTTTCAGGACACTCGATGGAGCACATGGAGATAAAGCCCCCATTCCTCATCCTGGGGCTGTGCATTCCCAGCCACAGGAGTCCCTGCAGCCCTTTCCCAGCCCCTTCCCAGAGGGAAGTGGTTTGGGCAATGCCATCCCCAAGCGATGCAGCTGATGCAGCTTTGCCCGGGGTCCTTCTGTGCAGTGACATTAAATGTGAGTGGTTTTCTAGACACAGAGATTGTTACATGGTGGAGAGAGTCCCCCTGCTCCTTTCTTCTCCCCAGGTCTCTAGGGCAGCTAAAAACAGCCCCGAGCATCTGAAAATGTGCCTTAATCTTCTGACAGGGAAGGAGATGAGGTCACAGGACTGGGAAGGCACTTGTTTGCTGCTGGGGGAATGGTGGACTTGACACTCAGATAGAACCAAGTGCTGCCGTGGGTGAAGAAAGGTGGGGAAACAGCCCAGAATGGCCTTTTTCCAGTGTTTTTCGTCTCAGATAAAATGCTGTGGGTTAAGAAATTGGGGGTTCTTCCACCTGGTGGGCCTGCTTTGGCTCAAGTTCATTCCCTTTGGTTTTGTAAAATGTGTTTTCTTCGTTGGCATTTGGCAGATGGACCTCAGACCTTGGCCCTGCCTTGTTCCTGGAGAAATGCTGGAAGTACAGCCAGGGTAGGAAAAGTGGCTAAAGGAAAGTTAAACCTTCAGAAGTCCTGGTTCCTGGAAGCAGCCTGGATCCAGGCTGTAGGTGCTCATAAGAGTTAATGAAAAAGGTATTAAATATCCTTCTCCCACCCCGACAGAGATTGCCTGGGATAAGTATTCCCTGAATTCTCATTTCCTGCTCCTGCACGTTGGGCCGGTGCTCCCACAGTCACTCAGGCGTGAAACACTTGGCCCCAAATTTGCAGCCCAATAGGAGCAGTTCTACTGCAGGTCTGTTATTTGCATAATTGGGTGCTAAGGAAAACAAAGCTTACAAATTGCTGATAATTGCAACGTGTCAATTATATGGGGGTAGGTCAGAGGTGGAATAGAAGGGTGAAGTCTCCAGGTGTGCTGAGGTCAAAAGCAAGTTGTTATTGAGGGGAAGCTTGTTAGGGGTTATGGCTATCAGAGGAACTCCTGGGAAAGCTGTGTTGTTAAATAACGTGTTGCTGCAATGTTCCAGGAGAGGGACCACTGCCAGTGGGAGTTATTGGGTAGTTCTTCATGTGTTCCTTGAGGGGGGCTGAAAAAAGGGCTCCAAGAGGAGCTGTGAACACTCTTGTTGTAGAGCAAGGGGTGCAAGACAACTGCACAGGAGGACTGAACCACAAAACTGTTATAGAATAGAATGGAGGTCCCAAAATCTTTTCTGTGCCTGGACAAAGTAAAAGTTGTTGCCCAGAAAAATCCACGTGGCACTTCAGATGGCTGGGAAGAGCCATCTCTGTTGGCTGAGGTAAGCCTGGAGCACCTGAGAGTCAGAAGGGAAGGAACTCGCACTGGTGATCCAAAGCCCACTGCACTTATCTGGCTTCTCCCTGCTGATGTTGCAAAGTTCCCTGACATTTAG